TTTTTGTCAAATTTTTATGATATCTTCAAACATATATTTTATTCAAAAATAAAAACATCATCGTTTTCTCAAAATCACATAAAACCATATTATAACATCGACTGAGATAAAGAATAAAATGAAATATTAAAATCATGATGTATCTCGCTGCATTGCGCGAGTACGCTTCTAGTTATATTTTAAGACATGTATTTATATTTTAATTTCGAAGTATAAAAATAAATACGTAAAGGAATATACTCTGAAATCGCACTTTCAGAAAAAAGTCGAAAAGTTTGACAAAAAGAGCCCGAAGAAGTTGCTTGCTGCCTACGCATCTGGTCTATTTAAATCCCATTACTTGCCTTCATTTTTCTCTTTCTAAACTACTGTATGCTGTTTCCCTTTCTTCTCTACATCAACCTCCATTTCCAAGGGAGCAAACGGTATTTAAGCTTTAATTAATTCATCTTCTTCATCGATCTGTACCTGTTCTGATTTGGAAGTTAGGATCACTTAGGTTTAAGATTCAGCTGGTTGATCATCGTGTGAAACGTCAGTATTTTCGTTGATCTGATTGTAGCTAGCTAGCTATATATATATATATATATATATATGGAAGGAGGAACGATGGTGGTGAACGAAGGAGACGATGCGTTGATCGGTTTGCCTCCGGGATTTAGATTTCATCCTACGGATGAGGAGATTATAACTCATTATCTTACTCCTAAAGTTGTTAATAGAAGCTTCACCGCCAGCGCCATCGGAGAAGTTGACCTCAACAAGTGTGAACCATGGGATTTACCTAGTAAGTTATTATAATCGCTCGATTTTTCGCCATGTTCTAGTTGAATTTCTCTAGCTATTGACGACAAAATAATTTTCTTATTCTAGACAAATTATTTCATGAAATTGCACCATCTGATCTCAAAGTTTTATCTAGATTTTGAAAATAGTAGTTACATAATCATCGGTTAATAGATTTGAAAATAGTAGTCAGAGAGAAACAGACATGGTTTAGTCAATTTTGATTTGTTTTCATTATAGAAGAGGAATATATGAAATTGTGCCATCGTTTCTAAAAAAGTCCACCATAATTGTATATGAAAGTGTATCATTATTAGCTGTAGATGAACATAGATTAGTATTCAAATTAGGAAACCGTGCACCGTATATAGATGAGTTTAGTAATAGCTAGATCAGTTTAGCTACCTGGATCAGTTCTCCGATTATCCTCACAAGGTCTAGCCAGCTAGATCAGTTTTTGGTATGATTTTTTTATTATGGATTTAAGATCTATTCTGTAATAAATTTTTGGTTTTATGTATGCATATGTTGAAGTTATTACTAAATTATGAATAATTGTAAAATATGTTGCAGGGAAAGCAAAGATGGGGGAGAAAGAATGGTTCTTCTTTTGTCAAAGAGACAGGAAGTATCCGACAGGGATGAGAACCAACCGAGCCACAGATTCCGGCTACTGGAAGGCCACCGGAAAAGATAAGGAGATACTGAAAAAAGGAAAATCCGGCGGAAGATTGGTGGGGATGAAGAAGACACTTGTTTTTTACAAAGGAAGAGCACCCAAGGGAGAGAAAACCAACTGGGTCATGCATGAATTTAGGCTTGAAGGCGATTTCTCATATTACAACATGTCTAGAGCCTCCAAGGTACAACTCTCTTATGCACCCATCAACTTTTAGGTTTCTTTAAAGATGAAATGAGTTCATTTCACATTACTTTGGCTTGAAAAGATGCATTAGTTCATTCATATATCTATTTATAGTAAAATATTCTTAGCTTATTTTGAGCTGTAACTATAACTATAGCCTATAACTGATTGATGATCATGACTTTAAAGGCTCAGCATTTGTCGATTTTTCAATTTCAGGATGAATGGGTAGTATGTCGAGTCGTGCAAAAGAACACTGAAATGAAAAGAAACCCAATTTCGGATTCTGGGATGACAAGAATGAACTCTTTTGTGGATGAGTTATTGGATAGTCCGCCATGGTTGCCACCGTTGATGGATCCTCCGGCTCCTCATTTCGACCCAGATAGGGCCGGGTCAAGTTTTACTTCATCGGATAAAATCATCACCAACAACCACACTGAAAATTCAAGTGTTCAAAAATTCAAGGGTTTGGTCGATCATGAAAACTGCCCATCCTATTTCTCACATGACCAATCTCAAATGCTTCAACGAGACCAAGATTACAAAAACTTCCTTGTTTCTCCTTATAATTACAACTTTGACACCAACTCCTACCAAATGAGCCCATTCATTAGTGACCACCAACTCTCAACACACCCTAACTTTGCATCAACCCTTGCTAACAATTTCCCATATTTATCATCACCCGGGTCGACCCGTTACATGGACCAGGCTAGTGGGCTAGAGGGGGAGGCGGAGAAAGTTGGCGGGCAATGCAAAGTGGAGCCGTATGTTACGAGTACCAACCAATCTAGCAAGATTAGTGTGACATCACAGGATACTGGTGTTAGCAATGACATAACAACAGAGATATCATCTTCGTCCAAACATGATATGAGTATGAGGCCGTATGATCATCCAGATGATCAAACGACCCCATCTGTGCTTTCAGAGTTGGATTCTTTGCTGGAATATTAATCAACAAAGATGTTAGCTCGATTTAATTGCTAATTAACCTTCATAATTGTCCTTGATCCAAATTAAACACTTGCATTCTTAGGATTAGTTTCTCTCTTAGGATAGATAGTGAGTGACTTTGTGTTTATCATCTTTAGGATTAGGACATTAGTTATTGGATGTAAATTAATTCATTTGAAATTGTGTACATAACTTATTAAAATTCCTATTTAAGATTGGTTCTTCAATGTCAAACTCAAAAAACCGAATTGAATGATCTGTTCAATCACGTCTCAAATTTCCTTACGATATATGTTTAAATGCGCTTTCCGTTTAGAAAACGCTAACACTGTTGACACGATGAAAAACCAATAAATTCCATATAGAATCAACCGAGATAACATAAAATTATCCAAAAGAATATGCTAAATACAACCTTGTATATTATTAAATATATTTAATTTTTAAATTTTAAATGTATAATTTGATCCGATTCACACCTTTATACTACAAAATCCATATTTAAAAAATCATTTAATTTTATTGAAAAAATGCAATGTTACTTGTACGGAATGTTGAAGTGCTTGTACAATGGTGACGTGATGGCAAGTATGAATAAGACAAGGAAGGTATATATTTTCCAGTTGGTTTGAATTGTGGAGTAAGGTTTTGAAAGAGCGTCGTCACAAGCCTTAAACGCAGCATGTGGCGAAATTCCAGGGGCATCCATCTGTAAAAATATACGAATATAATTTTCACTATCAACCCCCCCCCCCCCCCTACTTTCACGGGTTTGCATTTTTAACGGACACGTTTCCGGCGGCATAAATTCAGGCGGTATTTATATCATATGACGACGATTCTTTCATCATCATCGTCGGAAGTCTTTTTACGTTATTCTACTCTTCCGCCGGCATATACTTATACTAAACTACTACTGTTTCCCTCTTCCTTAAGTATCTCCAACCAATTATTCCATCTACGCAATTATTTTATACAATAACAAACAAATTACATGAAAAAATAACGTATTTTAACTTGATTTCTATTTTGGGTAACGTACTTTTAAAACTTCTATTTTCGTATCTAAGATGTAAAGTTTTTAAACATTTAAGTACCTGGGTAAACGGTTGAAACATTAACCGGTTAGATTAAGATATTCATGTCAAGGATATAATATTGAGTTGGATACCACATCACATGGACGGACACAACTATGTGGCGTATTATTTCTTCTGCCGAAGGGTAAAAAAATTAGGTTTCGGGAACGGTGCAACCGTATTAATTTGTTGTGTGTCCCGTATGTATTTTGAAACTACAATGAGAACAAGTTTTTTTTAGTAAAGTTGGTTTGCAAGACTTTTATTCCACTCCAGACCCAAGTTCGAATCATGTTAATGTCATTTTTTTAGTCAAATGGTGTCATCGTTTGAAAAAAATTACGTATATTTGTTTTTTATAATTAAACGGTGGCAGCGTTTGAATTTTTTTTCCCTATATCTTTTTTATGGTCAAATGGTGCTACCGTTTAAAAAAAATTCTGGATCCGTCCCTGCCACATCAGCATGGTAACCGGTTAATGCTTCATCCGGTTACCCGGGTACTTAAATGTTTAAAACTTTACATCTTATATACCAAAATAAAAGTGATGTAAAGTTTTGAAAATACATTATCTAAAATAAAAATCAAATTAAAGTATGTTACTTTTTCATGCAATTTACCTTTTACATGATACTTTCAACATTTCGAAATTCAAAGAGTTTATCACATATAATGTTTTTCCTTTATACATATTTTATAAATCTTTTACATTCAATCATGAGTTGTCTTATAACTTAAATTTGAAAAAAAAAATTGATCAGTGGCAACCTAACTGGCCCCACATGGTTATATAGAACTCGTCTCCAAGTACATAAAAGGTGGACCTAATTTTTTTTTTAAGTGGTGACACCATTTAATTATAAGATATAAATATGTGGAAATAAAATTTATTATTGATCTGTTGGTTAATTTATTATTTTTCATGTGTGAGACTTTATGTTCAAGTCTTTTCCTACAAATTTTTTTTCAAAAAACATAATAAATCTGAAAATAAAAAGCTAAAAACTAATAAAATCATACTAATGGGATTCAAACATGGATCTGGGGTGAAAGAAAAACCATGCAAACCAACTCTACCAAAAAAAACTTATGTCATTATTGTAGTTTCAAAATAGATATGGTGGCACATAATAAATTGACACGGTGCTACCATTCACGACCTTATATTTTTTTTAAACTATAACGGAAGAACGAAACGGTGGTACATGTCACGGTATCCATAGAGTGGGTTCCCCTGAAAAGACACCATTGTTATGTGACATTTTTGGCTAACTCAGCAACTCAACCATTCACGACCTTATATTTTTTTTACACCTAATGTTAACTTTATACATGCTCAAATCAAATCAATTCATCTAGAGAAAAAAATATATAAAATAATAGTATAATTTGCTATTTAGTTAACTGATATGGTAAAAGAATAATCGAAATCAAAACTTATATCATTTGGTTAACCAAACCATTTACCCACAAATAGAATAACTGGAAACCATTTTGATTAGGATGAGTTATTCAGTTTCTAATTCTTTTATATCCCTAGGACCCTCAACCATCTAAGTTCATGGATCTACCACTATGTATATTACTTATTACATATATGCGTGTGCGTAGACGAAAGATCGTATAATAATAAAAGTTAAGATGAAGGTGTAAGGAGGCATCTGGACTACTGATCAGTTTTAATCTCAAACCAGCTCATAAATTACGTTTTATAAGAGAATTGATCTAGTGAAACTCTCAATTATGATTGATCCAAATGTGGAGATCACTTCTTATCTTTCTTGTCAGAACTTTTATTCTCAACAGAAGCAAACATTATATGTACTATCGTTTTTTCATGTATAAATAGCTGTGATAATTACAGTGTATATTTATTAAAAAAAATATTATATAAAGAAAATCATTTTAAATGTTTTATATACACAAATACATGTATATAGAATTGTTCATGGAAAATAGTGTTGCACTTTGTAATGTAGTAGTAATCAATGAAGAGTGATGTATGGTTACCCTTATCCATGAAATTTGGCAATTGTGCTTCACAAGTGTCCAATTATTGTTGCTTTTGGTACAAGTTATACCCAAACTAGATGTCCTTCCAAACTACATCTTCTTCATGCAATTACACCCCTCCCACAATATTCTTTCTTCAATTTCAACCCTCCAACTTTCATCTCAACCCAGTATCACAGTGACAGACCCATAAAGAATTGGTGATATGGGAGCAGAAACTGGGAGAATTTTATCAGTGAAAGGAACAATAGATCTTGGTTACGTTTTTAGAGTTAAATTTGACTGGGGGCGGCTTGGATTAACCCCAACCACGTCAAATCCAATTTTTTGTATTGTCTTCTACACAACAAACAACCTTATCAATTGACTGGGGGCAGCTTGTAAGTAACATTAACTCAAATAACAGATAACACATACGAAATTTCAATTGCGACAAACTTCATCTTTGCATGGTGTATGATCTTCGTCTAATTTATCGAGCATTCGACGTGATTGTGCAACATGGGTATCAACGAAAAGGGTTGATTTTGTAAATGGGAGAAAATAGAGGGGGTAGTAGTGGAAATGATAGAGAAATCGCTTGTGGAAACAGCTTTGCTTTCAATTGAAATCAAAGATTCCGTGTGGTTTGATGCTTCCAGGGAGAGCATCTCACGCCGATTACTTCTTTTTTATTTTTATTTTTATATTTTTAAATTAAAAATTAAGAAAATTTTCAATCATAATTTTTATTCTTTTCTTCAAATGTATTCAACACTCCTGGATTAATGCATGGAAACATGGGACTTTGGAAAATGGAATTCTTTTTAAATATTTATTATTATTATCAATATATATATATATATATATATAATCTTTATTAAATTAAATCGTTGCAATATAATTTTTTTTAAGAAAAATTGTCATACCATAAGGAACTGTTTATTAAATGCTTATTCAGTAAGCTCTTATCAAGTTACTTATCTTACCAAATGCAGATGACAATGATCAAGAATTTACCCGGTAAGAGCAATGACAAAGATCCATAGTTTTAGCTAGTAATTGAGGCTGACTATGTGCTTACTAGGTAAATTGTTACATGTTTTTTGGTAAATCAAAAATTCAGAATTTTACTTAATAAGGTAATTAAGATTGTTGACTTACTTGTGTAAACGACCTCATAAATTGGTAAAAAAAGTTTAATAAAAATACAAACTAATTTTTATGATTATAACGTTTATTACCATGAATAATTTGACTTAATATATAATTTCGTTTATGAAAATGCGTTTTGGGCCTGAACTTTAAATAGGCCCACTCTAAAAGAGGCCAAGTGGGCTTGGGCTTAGGCTGACCTTCAAATTCAATTGCGAATTAGATGATTTTTGGGCCTGTAATTGTTGTCTTCGTCTTCATCCCCCTTTCTGGCAGTGTATTTTGATCAAAGAGACATTGAAGCTTACGTTATTTGGTCCGAATTTGTTTCATCAAGAGGGAAGTAAAGAGAATAAGTTGAAAGGCAACTGATCTTCTTCCTAGCTTGTTTTACAGGTACGGGTCAAATTGAATTCCAGTTTCTTGTCTTCTATAGAGATTGTAACTACTTTGGGTGGGTTGTGGTGGTTGGTACCTCGAATGGGGGATGTGTTATATATCTGATGTGTAATTCGCGTTTCAATTTAGGGATTTTTACCTTCTAATTCTTCTTCTTTATGGTATACTTTTGTGGGTTGATAGAATAGGGGCACCCCAAGTGTTTCACGTATTGTCGAGAAGAATATTGGTTAGTGTCTAAGAGAACGAATGAATTGGCAATTGAGTATGTTTTTGATCTTGGGGATGGGCTATGCTTGAGGCATTGGTTTTTTTTTTTTTTTTTTTTTTTTTGTTGAGATAGTCAGGTGCTTTTGGCGTCGTAGAGTGAGTTAATGACGAGTGGAGGTTCTCACTGGGTCCGCACCTCTTGTGTTAGGTTTGAGAAGCATGAACAACCATGAGCCTATCACGAACCAATTGGGACCCGGGCATACATGTCTAAAGGATGACTGTCATACCATCTTGAATGCTTTTCTTAACTAATTGTATCTGGATTGAGACTGCTTATGATATGTGTAGACAGTTTCAGATGCTTGATTAACTCATGTTTCGATGCTATTATTGGTAGAGTATAGGTTTTTGAGTGTGAAAGAAAACTTACTCCTAGAATATACATTTGCTTTAACTTGATTGTTTTATGCTATTCATGTTGATTACATCCTGCACCGATAAGCTAAGTATATGATAATCAATCGAAACAAATGGGAAAGATTTAGTGAAGTTGTACATTGGGTTGAGTTTGTAGCTTAATTTTCTGTAAAAGTACTTCGTATAGTTGATAATCCTTTGCTTTGTGTTTAATTGTAAGCTAAGGAGGTGAGATTGCTAGGCGTGGAGGTGTTTAGCTTGAACCATATTCAGCTCACCTATAGCCCAAGTCTAAAACCAATTGCGTTTATTTTTCCCCCATGTCCTCCCATTGAACATATCATAATGAAGCACGATTATATGTTCTTTTTCTTTTACGTTTACGTTTTCTGACCATGTAATGGATTCAGCATCTATATATTACTGTAAAGGATATTTCTTCCATTATAAGAGTTATATGGCCGATGGGTTTTTGTAATAGAAAACTAGAACGTCGAGCTTAACAATTTAATCTCTGCATGCCAATACCTTCATTGACTTTGGCTTTACTAAAGAAAAAATCTGCTTCATTTTGCTTATTCAAGATATAAAAAGAAAAAAAAAAACAGTGTGTCACCAGTAAAGAAAATGAATGAAAGATGCAAGTGTTTGTGCAGCTTTATTGAAGAAATGAACGCCGTACATTAGACATCCAAATTTCATTTTCTTCTCTTCCTCTATTTCTGAAATTCAGCCAAAGCTTTGAAAACAATGAGTAATGAACTGTCTCATCCTTGAACAGAATAGTCCTGCTACAGCCAATATTGCATCTGATAGGTAATTACTGCAGATGCTCTAATGGCCAATGTTCCACCTTTTCAACTGCCGGCTAATTCTCAAGGGATGTATGATTATGCATATCAAAATATGGGCGAAGTTTCATCAAGGCCACCAGAGAAAGAAGCAGTTACACTCTTGATACGTCATCTTCCTGAGGCTATTCCTCATGACACCCTCTCTCGTCTCTTTTCGCATTATGGTGCTTCTCGTGTCCATCCCTGCACTACTGGAAGGTACTGGGAAAGTATGATTCACATCAATACTGGTCTGCACTTTCTTTATACAACTTTTTTATGACTTAGTGCAATTCACATCTTTTCTATTGATTCATTGTGAACTGTTGCTGTTTTCTTGTTCTTATATTTTGGCATGATCTTTCTGTTCCTGTGTGTGTGTTTAAGTAAAACGTAGGTCAATTTTTCCCACAATAAATATTTTTCCTCGTCTCAAATTGGAATCAACTCATCTGAGATAAATTCGCTTTGACTCAATGTTTGTTTATTTTAATTACATTGGCGTAAGTTCTATTAATGCAGGATGAGGAACTGTGCATTTGTTGATTTTAGTAATGAAGGTTTGGCAACTCAAGCACAGCGCCAATTAAACGGGTAATTAATCATTGCAGAGTCAAGAACTTTATTGTATGATTGTTTAATATTCCTACGCAGCTTCGATTTTTGTTTGTCGTGATGTTTGAGTCTCTATGTTTATATCCTATGTATTATAATTTTAAGCTATAGCCTTTTTAATACTTTGATCAGGTTGCGGTTTCTTGGTAAAGTCTTGTCAGTTGAGAGATCTGTTACACCACCACATGATACTAGATCTCAGCAAAATAAATCTTTGTCGGGGAATGATGCCAAGCCATCAATAGATGATGCTACTTTAGCCAAAGATTCGGAACAGGAACCGGTGACGAAGTCCTTACCAGCACTTGAACCTATTGCTGCAAAACTTGGGGTGGAGTACCCGTTTCCTCCTCATCTTGTGTAAGCTATACTGCTACTTCCGCTTCTGTTTTCTTAATACCCCATCTGTTTCAGGAAAGGGGACGTCTTCTCCTTGTCTTAGTCCATACTTGAACAGAATTTATGTGTTTGTATTTCCAGTCCATCAAGTAACAAGGTGCCTTCCCTTTATCACTGCAATTTCATCATCACTAGCACTTCTGGCACACGTGATTGGTTTAGGATCCATGCTTCCAAAGCTGATGAAAATTTGTCTGTCTTTTTCTGTCCAAGATCCCTTGCCCCAAAAAGCAGAGACCAAACTTCTCTTCTACTTCTTCCAAATCAAATGACGTAGAGCTGTTTGCTTAAATTATATAGATTTCAGAGGTCATTGCTTTTGGACGTGTTTCTCTTTCTTCATGTATTCTACCTTTTTTTGCCTACTTGGATTTCCTATTTCTCCCTCGTCCTTCCCTGTCAATTGCTCCTTGCTTTATGCAAAAAAAGAAATGAAAATAAGTATTAGACATTCTAAAATGATTGTACGATTCTTACTATGACTTGCTGCTTATTTTCATGGTTTTAAGCTTTAGATAGTGACGTTTATATGGTTGTTCTTTTTCCCCTGCTAATAAACTAACTTACTCAACTGTAGGTATGCATACCCCCCACCAGACGGAAATATCCTAACCAACATTCTAAATGCTCTTATTGCTGTTCCTCGCTTCTATACACAGGTAATTTTATATTTCAGTGGATACAGCTATATGTATCTCTTCCAAGTAGTATCTTAATCGTCTATGTGTTACCCGTTTCATGGTAGGTGTTGCACTTGATGAACAAAATGAATATTCCAGCTCCATTTCGTGCAGCACTGCCTACTCCACCTCTACCTCCTTCAGCACCTGCACCACATCCACCACCACCCCCTCCTGTAGATACAAATTCTACTTTGGCACATCTCTCGAGTGGTGAATCAGAGTTGGAATCTTCAGATGAGGTAATTTCCTGTTATTGTTTCAGAAATTCTCCATCCTTAGCTATTGTATGTAAGACGATGTGTAACTTTAACATACATGTATACATGTATTTATATATGTGTGTCTGTATCTATATATGCATATGTGTCTATAAAGATAGTAGTATTTGAGGTACCCAAATGACGGATAGTGATACTTGCCGTGAGCCCCTCGATAGGTATATCCCTTTGCCTATCGCTAATCTTGGACTGTTCATTTCTATTTGACGGCTCATAGGAAGATGTATGCAAATGCGAGCTTCGCCTTGTTCAAAAAACCTCTAGTTAATTAAAATATGGATTTGATTTTTCTTATACTGATTATCTATGCCTGCATAGAAGACACTATGAATTGTTACTTGTTATATGGCTTTATGTCTGGCTTAGCAAATAAAACTGTAAGCAGTTCTTTTCTATGCAGGATTATTGTTCCTGCATGTTCCCGTATGAGCAGGTCTTTCCTCAGTTTTTAGCAATCACACAAGCAAGAATATTCATTTGTTTTGTTACTTTTTCTATGTGTTCTAATTTGAACCTTCAAACCAATTTTTCTAGTTGATTCCTTTTAGAACTTATCCACATCTTAAGAAAAGGAGAAATGTTTTTCCATAGCCATGATTCTCTTCTTTTTTAGATATTTTATCTATCTACATCTGCTTTTAGGCATACTATTTCTTATTTTTTTTTCACTACTCCAACTTAGCAGTTGTCAGATTCTAAGCTTCCCTAACCCTTGATACCTTTTTAGGAAGACGTTGGAGCTCGGCGACCAGCTGGACCAAGGCGTAAGCGAATCAAGCGAGAAGCTATTGTGGGCCCTGCTATTGACAAGGATGTAGCTCATGAGGCCGTTGGATTGAAACCCGCTACCTTAGTTCCTAAGGAGATCCCGATGATAAAAAAGAAGAACCCTGTCTTGCAGGTTGTAATTTTTTCCGTCCCAATTAGTATGTAGTGAAGAGACCAACTGTTTCTTGCATAACTTTTTGAGTTGTTGCATATCTTCTTGGTTGCAGATTAAAATTACTCCTAAACGACCTCAAACTGAACCAGTAGATGATGGCACAGCAGAAGACGTAGAGGAGATGGAGAATGAGAATTTAAGTACTAAACCCTTTGCTACTGTCGAAGAGTTGGAGCACGGAAAATTGCCTCCAGAAGAAATTTTATCCCTTCCAATGTTTAAGGTACCACCATCTAACTTTCATGGTGTAAACAACATTCATACCTAGTTCATGGTGAAGCTAGAGCTTATTGTAAGTTGCCGTTGCTTGTTGCAGAATTATAATGCTGGAAATCCTGCTCCTGTGTTGTACATAAAGAACTTGGCAAAAGATGTGGTTCCAGATGACTTCTACTTCGTGTTTGGTAAAACATACGTCCTGATACATAATATACAGTGTTTGGTTTGCATGTTTGAATAAATAAATAATCAATTTAGGTTTATCTTGTGTTGCAGGCACATTCTTTGAAAGCATTGAAACAGCTAAAACGAATCTTTCTGTGAAGTTAATGCAGGTAAGATGTCCTGATTTCACTTAAACTACCTCCAGCTTCTTGTACTTCTAGTGTTATCTATTAAGTAGTACGACAAAGGTTAAAACCCCAGATGGGCAATCATCGATATGAGACATTCTAATTATAGCCATGATCCTAGATGTTTTCTTGATCCAGGCTCTTGGCTTTTCAAAATAGAGGGAGGGGGGTCTTATACACAGCCTTTCTGTGCATTTTGCAAATAGGCTGTTTTCATGATTGAAACCTCAGATGTTCGGGTTATACTGGAGCAACCATTCTAGAAAAGATTTTGTTTGTATCGATAAATGGTATGCTAGGGACATCAGTACTTGTGTCCTTTGGGAGTTTATTGAGAGAAGAAACAAGACACTGATTGAAGCTTCCTGAACAATGTTGAATGCATCTGGTCTTCCCATTTGCTTCTGGGCTGAAATTGTTAACACTGCATGTTTCACTCAGAACATGTCTATTATAGTGAAGGAACATGGGAAGACAGCTTATGATATGTTCTACAGATGGCCAAAAATAGGTCTCGGTCCTTGACTTCCTTTTCATAACTGGTCCACATCCCAACCAAAAACCCATGGCCCAGTGTCCATTTCTTGTAACCAGTCCTGGGCCTGGCCCAAACCGGTCCCAATTTTTTTTCTTTCAAAAATCAATTTTGAACGTAAAAAAAATCTTGTTTGTGGACTTCCTTTTTCTTGGACAATATCTCATTGAAATACACTTTGAAACTCTAACTGGGCCATTCAAATACACTTTAATAATAGGCAGATGACAACTTGTTTTCTGGTTTCAGGAGGGAAGAATGAGGGGTCAAGCATTTGTAACATTTCCATCGATTGACATTGCTCATCGTGCTCTGGTATGGCTCTTAATATTTGGCAATTTGCAGTCAACATGCTTGTACCATTTTCTCTTTTTCTTTCTTGTGGCTTCTATTAGTGATCACCATGATAAAAATGCCATTTTCGGCTACAATAAAGATTTCTTTTAGGTGGTTGTGTTGAGCAAATATAAATCTTGGTTGCAGAATCTGGTGAATGGTTTTGTATTTAAAGGCAAGCCCATGATCATCCAGTTCGGCCGGAATACTTCTGCTGGCAAAACAAACGAAAAATAGCATCTCGAGGAAGATCTTGTGCGGCAAAACCATGGTAAGTCTGCTACTATCTCTTTTTTAAGAGCATCTCCAACAGATTTTTTTTAATTTTCTCTAGATCAGATAATCAAAGTTAAAATCTCTAAAGAAATCATAACGCTCCAACAGATTCTCTATTTTTGGATATTTCAACATTAATTATATTATTAATTAATATGCAAAAACCCAAACTTAGACGATGGAACCTCTGGATTAACAATCATTTGGGTTGCGCCATATTGGTTACGGCTCATGGGGATTGTAGTGAACATCTCATCTTCCCTGGTTCGTATCCAGGCACTTTTGGCCATGGAAGTTCACCTGCGATGACTCTAGGCAATTGTGGTAGACCTGGAGATTAATCAGTGCGTGTGAACTGATATGAATACCCAAATGTACCCGAAAAAACCTTTGGATACCAAAAATAAGCTCCAACTACGTGACCAAGCCGAACGGGTGAGTTTTGCCACTCAAATACACATGAAATAATAACTGTATTCTATATTTTTGGGTCAAGCCAATACTCTTTCCCGTATTTTTTGGGCATCTCCGGTATAAAACACCATATTTTACGCGATTTTAATACAAACAGTAAATCAATTCCAATGCGTTACACCAAGTTTTGCACCACTCAAAATGAGTTTGGTTTGGTTGTTTCCAAAACACTCCATTTTCAACTTCATTTATTAAAAGTGATACTGAGGTGGGAAATGTAGGTTGCAAAAGGTTGCAGTGGTTCTCCTTTTTTTTATGTTCATACGTGTTTTATCCAAATAGTATCCACTTGTTTTCCAGGGGCAGCAGGCAGGGGTAAAATTGTGAATTCACATTCTCCAGCTTTTTAACATCTGTGGAACCACGTGGGTGACAAAGGGCACGATCACGTGCTTCTCCATCTACCATTATCTATTTATCGTGGTTCTCAATTTCATCTCTCCCTTTGCATATTTTGCCCCCTCAACTTTTGTGGGCTGTTCAACTTGGTTTTATATTTATGCCTTTTTTGCAACTTCCCCTTATTTAACTCTTAAGTAATATATTTAATTCACATGTTATTCACTTATTAACTTCAAAATAAAACCTAATATATATATATATACACACACACATATTAATCAAAAAATATATATATATATATATATATTGATTAGTGGTTGAAGTGCTGGGAGATGTGGTGGAATATCTCATCTGTCCAGGGTTTGAATCCAAACGTACATAACAATTTTCGCTATTAAGTTTATTAGGGTTGATTTCTTGCCGTCACAATTTGTCAAAATTTGTCCAGATGTAGCCTGAGATATCCTTCGAAAAGTAATAGTAATAGTTAATAAGTCAAAATATTGGCTAATGTAATAGTTATAAACTTGTTATATATATATATATATATATATATATATATATATATATATAGGGGAGCGATTGATTAATCATTTTTATTGTGGAGGATGTTAATCATGGATATTATCATCTTCATTATTTTAATTTTAGAGAAATACATGAAACAGTTTCATTAAAATTTCATTAAGTAGTATATGAAACAATTTCATAACCATGAAACAACTTCATCAAAAAAAGTATTATATGAAACAATTTCACAGAATTAAACAATTTCATGAAAAAAAATTCATAAGATTACGGTGGATGAGAGTAGTTTTTACGGTTTTTACAAATTGGAATGATTTTCATTTGATCGCTCCTCTCTCTCTCTCTATATATATATATAGAGAGAGAGAGAGAGAGAGATGTGAGTTATTATATAATCTTTACATTTGTACAACCAATACAACTCAATCTCAATTGTCCATTTAATTTGATAAATATGTGATTTCATAAAAGTTTTAATTGTTTTCTAATATAAAATATTAATCATAATTAATAAACTCTAGTTATCATACATAAATATTCTAATCATAATAAATAAACTCTCATTATTTTCATAAATATCCCAATTGATTGGGTTGCATTAGTTGTACTAATGGACATGGTTGCATTTGAAATATACCATATATATATATATATATAAAGTTTATAACTATTACATTATATTGTCATCATTTATTGATTCTAATTGAAATACATATACGTACACTTGTTTTGGACAATTACTTAATGAATCAAGGTATAAAACACTTCAAATCAGGTTATCTACTATAAACTACATAATAATACACTAAAAAAGAAAGAAAAACCAATATCATGTTACAAAAACCAGACATTGGGCCATAGCATGCCACAATCCATCAGACTCGAGCTTTGAGCCATGACGTACTATAATGACCGTCTTGACAAGCCTTTTAGAACGCTATTCGTAGGATATAAAAAATTAAAACTTGAGGACTGAAATGGAATATGATGTAAATAGAAGGGGGTAAAATGCAATTACAAAAGACAGATCCTACTGTCATGAACTGGTATTCAAATTATCCGCCGTTGGATTAGGTTATCCGATACGAGTATGACTAGGAAAGCAGATTCTAGAAAAAGTGAAACTAATCCAATAAAGAAAATGAGGACCCCACAAATTTCATCGATCTCAATTTCCAACCCACTTTTTTCTCTTACACGTAATAAAGAAGGCGTATCCCCATTGCTCGCTTTTTAAAAATCAATCCAAAAACCCCTCTTCAATACTGCATCTCAAAAAACCCATTTTTCTACAATCAAATTGGATTCAAGAACTGCTGGAGATCAAGTATGGCCAAGATCATGAGTAATCATTATAAGTTTTCTGCCTGTAATCATGGTTTTGCTCGCAATAAATCGGATAACTTGTCCCCTGTTATGATAAAGATGCCGGCGGCTTCTTCAAATCTGAGAAAATCGTCGACTGTGTCATCCGCCGCTGGCGATTTCTTTGGCCGGCGGGTGGATTTAGGAGGTAAACGAAGAAGGGTTCGTACCCAAGTTGCTGCTGCTTCTAATGCTATGGTTCGTTTTCGATTTACTACCCTCTTTTTTCATCCGATTTCATCAGCAAGCAATTTGTTTTGAAATTTATGTGATTTAACGTAAAGGGGTTTTGTAATTAGCCATTACCTTGATGGGTTTTAGGTTTTAAGATTTGGGTTTGTTCTTCTAGCTTATAGAGTGATATTTGAATATTTGATGATTGTTTGGTTTTTCCGTACGAGTTAATCACATAAAGATCGTTTCTTTGCACCAAAGAAACAAGAAATTGAACTTTGATGTTATACCCAGATAGAAATTCTTACGAAAATGGGTAATTACTGTTTTACCATGTTGAGAAAATCCAGAAAAGAGAGAGATTTGATGCTGTTCTTTCTGCAGTTTGTTTTGTTTCTTGATGGTGAAGGGATATGGAGCTTGATTTGAAAAAATCTTGCAAGAAAAAGGGTTATCTTGATGGTTAAGAGGATGATCTATTTTGCTTTTTTTTATTTATAGTTTTTCGGTTCTGTTGTGAAAAACTAGACTGGTTTCCTTTGGTACGCTAATGGCATTCAGGAAACAAGATAAAGATAATCCTAGCAACAAACATTTGTAGGCAAAGTCGTCGAACCATTTGATTCATTTCTTGCAGTTATCAGTTTGTTTCTGTTGATATGATCATATGGTGGATTGGACCTAATTTAGGGGTTGTGGATTTTGAAACTGTGATGGAACAGATGAGTATTAGCATTGGGAAATCTTTAAAATGGTGGGAGAAAGGACTTCAACCAAACATGAAGGAGATAACTGGTGCAGAAGATCTTGTGGAATCCCTCTTGAGAGCTGGTGATAAACTGGTGGTTGTTGATTTCTTTTCACCTGGTTGTGGAGGCTGCAAGGCTCTTCACCCCAAGGTTTGTCTCAAAATCCAATTCTTGATCTTTTACACCCCATGTTCTTGATCTGTATCAAGTGGGATATACTGGGTTCGTTTGGTTTTTTCTTAAATCTTGATGGGATTTCAACTTTCTGGTACTACAGATATGTCAGTTAGCTGAGATGAATCCAGATGTCCAGTTTCTGCAAGTGAACTATGAAGATCACAAATCCATGTGTTATAGTCTCAACGTTCATGTTCTTCCGTTCTTTCGTTTCTATCGGGGGGCTGATGGTCGTGTTTGTAGCTTTAGCTGTACAAATGCTACGGTTTGTGATCCATATTCTTTCCTCTCTTTTTTCGTTTCTTTAACGTTAAAACGACATAGTCTGAAGGGCATTGACATACGATGATACAGATCAAGAAATTTAAAGATGCATTAGCGAAATACAAGCCTAGTGGATGCAGTTTAGGTCCTACAAAAGGGCTGGATGAGAAAGATCTCGTGGAGCTGGGGGCCAACCGGGACCTTTCTTTTACTTACACTCCAAAATCAGACCACCCACAAACGGAGATCGTACGGCCGCCATCTCCGCCAGCGCCATCGCCATTGCCATCGCCATCGCCAGTAGCTGGTGGTTTATCAGAACTCCCTCTCCCTCGTCCCCTAAAGTCCACATCAGAAACGAAAGAGGATAGTAAAGATAAAACCTTGGTATCTTCTGGGAGATGAGATGTGTTTCGAACATCCAGAACAGTCATGTTCACACTGTTTTTGTGTAAGTATACCACTCTGGAACCAACTCTACTGAGCCCTGTGGGGCCAAACGTTAGCGCCTGTACAGGGTACCTTTGTACTATGTTGTGTATGTTTTTGTTGTGTAAATAGTACAAAAGTTGAGCCCGAATCGAGTCTGCTAATCAGACGGACGAATGTGTGCCCGTTTTCTTGCATCTTAGAAGCCTTAATTTGTGTCTAAATGTGTATATGAAAGAAGGTGAGCTTGATTCACTTGTAAACAAGGTTTCAATGGAAGTTATGAGTTGAAATCTTTGGCATTTATGTGTATGTGTTCAAGTTTGAATCACAAAGAACTTCTTGATAGGATACGAAAACGGGTTCGTTCCAACCTTTTTGGAGGCCTCGTTATACACGAACTAAAACTACAGATACTCTGAAACGAGTAATAAACAAAATAAAATATAAAAATTCTATGTTATATTAAATAAAATTACAAATTAAATCATTAAAAAATATCGAAGAGTTATTTTTGTTTTTGATTAGCAAGTTCTGAGACAAAATATCTGTTTTTAATTTTGAAAGAAATTAGATAGGTTTTCGTTGAGGTGGGTTTATAGGTTGGGCCTTATAAATCGAGGCCCAACACAAGTAAAATTGGGCCCCAAAATTTTAGGGTTACGCTCAAAAACCCATATTCAACATGCTAATAGATGACTTTGATGAAAACCTTGAACAAAACCGAACTAAACGAACCTGATATATCTAACCTATTAACGTTGCCAACAACCAGTGTCAACAACACCGTCGAAAACTAAAATGATGAAAATTGAAGAGTAGAACAAAACTCGAGGACGATTGAAGAATGAAAACGAGACAAATCCACAACTAATCAAAACGAAGATTGAAAATGAAGATGAAAAGGATTGAAATGATTTTTTTATGATAAAATGGAATTGGTTAAAGATCGAGATTAGGGCTGGGGCTGGTTATACATTAGACCCGTATTGGTTATGCTTTTTGGGGAAGAACCGGGACCAACTACGCTTGAAAAATCATTAACCAACCCCGTTAAGGCCTGACCTAATACCAATTAAACCGGATTTTGATCATCTCCACCCACCAGATGGTAGGGTCTAGGTCTAGAGGTGATAAGATATCCTAAGGGTTGAGGTGTATACAGACCTTACCTAATACTCTAACCTTACCTAATACTCTAAAATGTAAAACAGTTGTTTTCGTAAAGGCCTTTTTGAAACTCTAAATTGGGAACAACCCAAGTTCCAAACACATCTTTAATTAAATAATAGAAAAGAAATGTATAAAAATCACCCAAAAATAGAATAAAAAGCCTAGCATGAGAAGCAGAAAGAAGAATGTAGCCAAGGACAACTTGCCGATTGATACATGCATGACGGATGCCTGTCGGCAAGTCATCCTTGGCTGCATCTCAACGTTTCTGCAGCCACCATGCTAGACCATGGGTGAGCCTGCAATTCATGTTCATATTCATAGAAGAAGAAGAAGAAAGAAAGAGTGGTGAGAGTAAATGGTGWTGAAAGAGAGGTCTCATAATGAGCATGAATGGGGCTACTTATACATCACACTTAATTTCTCCCACATTTAAGTAAGAGAAATTGGGCCTTTTTTTTGTTTTTATATACATTTTTATTACATATTCAAATAAAATTTCACATTATTTTATTGGATGAATATGGAAAAGACCAAAAATCTTTACCCGATAATAACAAAGTCTAGGTCCGAGGGTCTTACCTGGTAAGTGAAGAAAACGACTCTTACCACGGTTAACATTTATCATATAAATAGTTGCATATGGTACTATTTTAGTAGACTAAAATCTTATCGGTAAATAAGTGATGGTGTTGAATTTTACTGATAAACACTTACCCAGATACGTTTGGTAAACGACCCCTTAGTTTTTTTTTTTTTTTTTCATGATTACGATAAATGATTCTTGTTGTTCTCTACACCATTCCCGACAAGATCACATATTTTTCCCTATTAATTCATCGAAAACTTGAATCCAAATGCTTCTAGCACTCTTAAAATTATATTCGCAAACCAACTATTCATCATTTTGACAAATTATTGGTTGAAACCACAAATCGTACATTTTTTTTTGACATTAGACAAATTCATCTGTTTATTAAAAGCTAAACTGTTATATTTAGTAATTTGGGTAAAAAGTTGATTACTGATCATCCCAACCGATCTCATACAAAGCCCACCTCTAAGAATATCGATATAAGGGAGTATTTTTTTTTTTTAGCTTACTCAACAGTTGAGGTTAACGAGTGACTTGAGATTGGACCTGTCTTGGACAATATCAACTTACCATTTGTCAACTGAGCTACATGTCAGGTTGGTTATCAATCAACCACCGTACATAATCGACATTCAAAATTGTTCTTTGATCCAAAATAATATTAAATAAACGCATTTCAAATAATTATATTTTTTTGTCTTAATATATACGTTTTTATTTATTTATTATACAAATTTTACGACGGGAAATGTTAGTTTTTTCCGCATTAACCAAGACTTGCTAAATATATTTTAATTTTTTTTATAGTTGGTTACATGAATTAAAAGAATGAAGCTTTAGTAAGTTATACTTACACATAATTTACTTGTGGTCTTGAATTTTAAATAATATGTATCAATAAACAGTATTTTACACATAAAAATAATTTTTAAGAGTTTTTGTCAAATATTTTATAATATAATATATATTATATAAATTTTTAATACAATTAAAATAAGAGGCGAGAAAAGAGTGCAATATTATGTGGCGCTATCTGTTCACCACATCTATATACAATACAAACAAATAAATGTCTCCGTAAATATACAATTTTTTAAGTATATAATATTTATATACAGTAAATGCATTAAATAAATTCATACACTTTCTTCATCTTTGATGAAATTGGAACCCTTGATCTTCTAGAAAGCTAAAAATTACAATACTATTAGGACAAAAACCATTTGGTCAATCTAAATAGTTTTATTATATTATAATTTCTCAATAATTACGATACCATTAGGACAAGGGTGATGTCTGATTGGTTTGATCTTGGCTCCAAATGTCAAAAGTACCAGGAAGTCTCAGATTCAAATCCAAGGAGAAATAAAAATCCCTTTGTGGCCACGGAGGTTCAAATACGGTGACTCTGGGCTATCTGCAAAATAAGTGGTCGTCCTGGGATTAGTCGGCTCGCATAGCGAGTTGAATATCCATGTTAATAAAAAAATTAATATTTTAATTACCAAATAAGTTATTGTTTTTACCCTCACATAGTTTTTTTTTGGGGGGATTTATATTTAACACATTGTGTTATATGATGTTTGCTTAAATTCAATAATTTAAGCGTTTTGGGTTTGTTTGTTAACAATTTAATGATATAGAAAGTCGTTTATTCAGTAAGATTTTAGAGATTAACTTTATATAAAATCAAGTTCTTTTAAAACTACATCTACTAACGAAAAAAACATGCTCATTCCATCTATGAAAATATCATACCAAACAAAACTTTTCTTGATCTTAATCGATACAGACAAATTAATCCACACACACAATTTTATCTACACATGACTTAATTGAAATCAACTGAACGACCATTTGACCTCTTTTGAAAGTAACGATATTTCTAATATAAGTAATTCATACATTTAGATTGCTAATTCAGTTTGTTTCGGTAGTTTCCACTGTCTGTCCAGAGTTGAGCATTGGGATTTGACGGCGGACACAAGTTAGAGATAAGCGGACTCGAACCGCTGACACCCTATTTATCCGACTGTTGTTGAGCAGTTTTTGGATATCAAATTTGGAATTTTCATTGAACATATAAAACAAAAAAGCTTATATATTAATAAAAGGAAAGGAAAGATGGAAGTTTCCTAAAATGGAAAGAAATAGTGGTGGATTAATGACGTTAATTAAAATGGTAAAAAAAAGAAAAGGGAGGGTGGGAGTTGCAGAGGAATCCTTGGGAAGTGAGCCTCAACTCGTATCCCCATGCCATCAACCATCACTTTGCATGCTTTTTCTCATTAATTAATTAATTAAAATTATTATTTTTAGATTTTAATTTATTTTTTTTCTAAAATTACCAAAATGCCATTAAGTTCGCAAGTTCAAAAACGAGTCAAAGGATAAAAAAAGAAGTTTCTAAATCTGGTCCGTAAATATAAGGGACGAATCTGTAATTCTTTTTTTTTTATTAATTGGATTTCCAACCTTTTATGCGAGCCAACTAATCTCAGGACGACTACCTGTTTTGCAGATAGCCCGGAGTCACCGCATTTGAACCTTCATGGCCACAAGTTGATTTTTATTCCTCCTTGGATTTAACCCTGAGACCTCCAGGTACTTTTGATCTTTGAAAACAAGCTCAAACCAATCAGACATCACCCTTGTGATTGAATCTGTAAATTAATTTCAACACTTTTGCAAATTATGGACCTATAACTTGAGGATCTATATCTATTTTATACATTTGGTCTCTGTATTTATAGACCTATTTCAAGAACTTTAATTTTTTTTTACATTTTGATGCATCTGTAAATTGTGGACCTGTCACTTACTGATCTAGTAATGTTTTAATAACTTTAGAAGAAAAATGACTAAGAGATAGAACCACCAGCTAAATAATTGTTTTAATTTATTTTCTTTTTTTCTATTATTATAAAATAAATATTTTTGATATGTTATCTTTTAAAACATATTTCATATAAAATTAAGAGAAATTGACTTGAAATAATTAATCACTTCATGCCAAAGCTACATTTAAAGTTAATTCTTAAATTAGTCATTTTTTGACGTAAATGTGTAAATCTTCGTATAAATGTGTACGTTTTTACATAAATACTCTTTTTTTTTCTTTTAATCGAAAAAAAGGTTTACAGAAATACATGAAACATTTATGTTAAAAAGGGTTGATTTGGGAATTCGCTTAAAAATATGGTTAAAAAGTGAATTGGGATGGAAAGATTGCTTATTTAGTCACTGCTCTAAAAGGTTTTGTGGCAACAGCTGAAAAAACGCATCATGACTAAAGACTTGTGTCTCGCGTCGCATTAAGCAAGTGACGCGCCATGGCTTGATACGCGGTTTTTGTAACACGATATCTGACACAAACCGACTAACCTTAGAGCGATCAGCTGCTTCACAGGTAGCCCGAAGTCATCACATTTGAACTTTCGTGACCACAAGAAAATTTTTATTCCTACTTGAATTTGAACCGGGTATCTAAGACAACAAATGTTATAATATTGGAAAATTACCTATCAAGATGAATATTAAATTAAGAATTTTTAAAAATTTATTATATCAATTAAAAAAATATTCTCACATTTAAATATGATCTAAACCACTTTATTATATTTTGTTTGTGAATATTTATATATAAATCATGAATTTTTGAGATTTTTAAATATGCATTTTTAAAGTATATTTTAAAATAAAAAAAATGAAAATTAACTAAAATATTAAATCTTTTCAACTAAATTCAGTTTTATATAACTTCTAATTGAATTGTAAATTTAACTTTGTAACTGTCCTACTTTCCACATTTGCATATAAACATGTATTTTATATATTAAGAAATAAAATAACACAACTTCGGTCCCAACAGTACAATAAACTATATTACAGAACTTACAACTCAAAAATTCCAAAATAACATTCTTATACACCACTTATATAAATAACAAGTAATCAAAAAATCCATCAGATAACACGTTGATCATCATAAAGCAGTTAAGCACAATACTACAATAGGAACAATAATTCACATATACATGCACCTTAATTTAATATAAGTAATTAAACACATAATTATATAACCAAATAATTACTTCATATATATATATATATATATATATATATNATATATATATATATATATATATATATATATATCCAGAACCAAATTATCACATTATTTAATTAAAAAATGAATTTGATTAATAAAAAAAATAAAGAAATTGGATAAATTTCCCTCTAAAAAATAGAGTTGTTTAGGGTTTATTTGGGAATTAAAAAAATAAAATGAAAATAAAAATGGAGGAATCCTGTACTCTGTTTTTCCTTGATGTTATCAATCCCTGTCACTGTCTCTCCACCTCCGTGACTACCAGTATTACGTGTCAGATTTTACCACTTGCCTCTTCTTTTTTTAATTTTTTTTTTTACCAAATTTAAATTACATATAATTTATTAATTACCTACAATTTATTTAAAATATAAGAAAATTGATTTTTTTTTGTCTTTAAGCAGTTTGTTTTATCTTATTTTCTAAAATAAAAAATAATAAATAAAACTCTTAAGAGCATTTCCAACAGATTTTTCAAAATTTCTTCATAATTAAGAAATAAAGTTTGTCTTTTAATAGTTTCATTAAAAAGCAGTCTTTGAATTGTTAAGAGATGAATCTTGTTTGACAAAAAAAAAATTCTCTTAAAAGTTCTAAAACCATCTGAATGATTTTGTATCATGTGTCACCTTTAACCATTCAACGTCTTAATTTTATTATAAACAATTATCAAACAATTATATTTTGGCGTACTTTTAGGGAATCTGTTGGAACTCAATTTTAGTTCAAGATCTTCATTTTTCTCATTTTAAAATTTATTGGAGATGCTCGAATGTAGAGAATTCTCTGAAAGTCTAAAAAAGAAGAGAGAAGTGAGCTTTTTATTCATTCCACCAATGGGTTGAATTAATATCATTTTATATACAATTTTTTTTTAAATTGTATTAGGATAATAAAGTTATAAAATATTTAAATAATATAATTAATGATGAAATCTCTAAAATAAAGAAACTCTTGGAGTTAAATGTAATTTATTTTAGAGATTTTGATTTTTAATTTTTTATTTTAAAGAAATTATAGAGAATCTGTTAGAGATGTTCTAAGAGCATCTTCGACATTTATGATATATTTTCTTTTATTCTCTCAAATTTAGAGATTTCTCATTGCTTTCTCCTATTTTTTTATTCTAAAAACGAGTTTAATATATCTGTTGGATTAAAAAATTTATAGAATTTCTAAAATAATATAGCTATTGAAGATGCTATAAGGATCCAAAAAATAAGAATCGAAGATGAACTCAATCATCCGGTAAGATTTCAACAACATAAAAAACCATCCAAGATAATAAAAAAAACAAGAATTGTTTGACAGTTGCTGAATGATTTGGTGTAGAATGATTAAAAGGTTGTCATGATATAGTGTAAAATAAAATATAATTGTTTGGTAATTGTTTACAATAAAATTAGGACGTTGAATGGTCAAGGGAGACTCATGATATAAAATCATTCAGAAGGTTTTATAACTATTAAGAGACGGATTTTTTTGTCAAACAAGATTCACCTCTTAACGATTCACATACTGCATCTTAATAGAACCTCCGAGTTTGAACAATTAAGAGATATAAGTGTTAAAAGCTTGTTTATTGTGGTACCTCTTTATAAGTTTATTTAATATCATCTTTATATGATGTACATAAATTTTTATACTCAAAGGATGGACTAAATACACTCATACACATTGACAAATCATCTTTATCTATTAACTTTCTCTTCACATATATCAATATCAAGACTTATTTTTTATATTTTTTTAATACATGATTTAATCTGATTATGACATTCAAATATGTATATAGCATCACCCTGTTTAAAATTGAATCTTGATTTTGATCGACACTTTGTTAACATTGCCGATGGCATAACGTCATTAACATGTGCGATTTTATCTCCAAATATGAAACATCATGACAAGTTACAAGAACACCATCAACGATGAAACTTAATTAACTATTTAAACCTTGCGTATTTTCATTGTCGAACGAAGGATATGGGATTTAGACCCTTTGACGTTAAATCATAACAAAATAAAAGTTCATTGAATTTAGATTTGTACAGTAATAAATTCGAATTTGGTACATAGAACGTAGTTGAGAGAGAAACAGTTTGGATCATCGGTTAAGGTCCATAATTGACCCCTCAATGATAAAAAAGATAGAGATGTAAAGATAGTCAAGAAATTTGTTTGTTTGCTAAACATTTACCAGCAATAGAAATTACCTTCATTTATTTTATCATGTAACATTTTCGACTACTAAAATTGATAAACTGTTAAGTGGCTCTTGGTAACCCCATACCCTTTCAAAATTTCCGGTTGGTAAACGTCTTAAACCATGTACGCTTTACGTGTCTTATCAAATAAGATTCTTGATCTTTATCGTACTTAATAGATAAGATAAATATTATCGATAAGCGTTTATCTGATGATAATCGTTTAATAAAAAAACCTTTATAGTGGATAGAAAAGATTTAAAAAAAAAAGGCGGGTTGGGATAGGAGTGGTTGGGGGTGGGACAGACTGACTAGCAGTAGCTGCTGCAACATGAGCAGGCAGTGGGGGTGTCTGGAAAGCACAGATTGCCCCAAAACCTATCTATATCGGTAATACCCCACTCTTATATATATATATATATA